TTTGTGCCTCATGCCCAGCAGTTCACACTGAATTGTTTGGCCAAACTTAATCTACTGGGAAGGCAAAAAACCCTTTTCCTTTAATATGTGTTAAAGTAAAGCCAGCTTCTCCAAGCAGCTGGGAGCAGGGAATGTGTATGGCTACAGGGATTTCCTAAGGGAACTCCCAGACTGGAGTTTGGCTACTTTAAAATAAATAACTCCAATTCAGAAATGATCCAGGACCAAGGAAATCTCGGGGTTGGTGCATTGTGGATAATGCCTGGTGATTCCTGCACCAGGACCTGCCACGGGCACAAGTTCATGTTCTCCAAGAGCTCCTCACTGAGGGGGCCACATTCCCAAAACACAAACCAAATCCATGCTTTCAGCCAGAGGAATGTCTGAAAAGGTGACCTGGGTGGATTCAGTGAGGCCCTGGCACAGGTTGCCCAGAGAAGCTGTGGCTGCCCCATCCCTGGAAGTGTCCAAGGCCAGGCTGGATGGGGCTTGGAGCACCCTGGATAGTGGAAGGTGTCCCTGCCCATGGCAGGGGTTTTGAAATGAGATGACTTTTAAGGTCCCTTCCATCCCAAACCATTCCAGGACTGTATAATTCTAAACCAAAGGGAAGGAATGACCTTCCCTCCCCAAATTTTAAGGGTTTTACACCAACCCTAGAGGGTTTTATAAAGGAAGGTTGTCAGTTGGAGGGGGTTTGGCCAGGGGTAGATGCCTTACAACCAACCTGATAATGATGGAGTTGGAGCAGAAATAAACCCCAGTGGGAAAACCAAACTCCCAAACAGAAATCCCTCATTAAGGATTTCCCAGGTGAACAGTCAGTTCCTGGGGCTGAGTAAAGCCGTGGCACAGTAACACACAGGACAGGTTTCCACCTCACCACCAGAAGACACCTCTCCTGGAGGGCCTGGAGGTGGGCAGATGGTTTCAAGGGAACACCTTGAAAGTCCTTCCACTTGATATTCAATGGAGTTTGAGCCAAAACTCAGAGTTTGGGAAGGGTAATAAGGTGACCAAAGTATCCAGACCCTCTGGGAATCCCTGTATGGCCCCATCCCATCCCACCACCCCACTAACATGGGCACCATCCCTTCCAGCTCACTCCAAACCCCACTGCCGGGGCTTCCCAAGTGGTGCACGCGCGGATCACTTACCCATTCCCTGGATGGGCGAGGGAAGAGCTAAACCCCATCTGTCTGCACACACTCACTGTTCCCTGGCAGCAACCACAGGAAGAGACACCTAGATGTGGGATTCAGAAAGAAACCTGGGGAGGCTCCGTGTTTTGGGGGAAGAGCAGGTGGGATGAGCTCGAGATCCAACCCCCCCAGCCGGTGGGAATGTGGGGAAACACAAACCCAGCTGGGCTTGCAAGGGGGTCTCGTGCTTCCAAAAGCCTGTAATCTCAGAAAAAAGGGGAAAAAGTCAGTTATACCTCACTTATACTAAGTTTATATACTTGGAATACCCCAAGGGTCAATAACTTTCATCTAGGAAAAGAAAATCAAAACTAAACCAGCTCGGTTTGGATCCGAGAATGTCCCAAGGTGCTCCCGGGAATGGTGGAGCCTGAGCTGCCCAGGGTGGGTGTGGGGTGAGCAGCCCAGCCATGGCTCAGCCCTGGCACCTCCTTGGACCTCACAGACAAACAGGAGGAGGGAGTGGGATCAGATCAGGCTCCGGGTCAGGGGATGAGCCGGGAAAACACAGCCAAGACAAGAACATTGTCCCAGAGGATTCAGCCCATCCTGGTTTTGACTGATGGACCCAAACCCTGTACCCCAGCGCTGGTGGGGATGTTGTCAGGACCCTGATCCTCCTGGTGGGTGCTCCCGTGTCCCATCCCCTCTTCAAAGACACCGGAGACTCAGAGCTGGGCGGGAGCAGCCCCAGCCAGAGTTATCCTTCCCCTGGATTTACGGCGCTGCCTCAGGAATGCCACAGCCTTTTCCCTCCAGTGCACAGCTCAGGGAGAAAAAAAACCTCTCCACAGAACCTTCCAGCCAACAGATAACACAATGTGGTTCCGATTTCCTCACCCCCCCCACCCCGCTCCCAAGAATTGTTTCTTTTCTTTTCAAAAATCTTGTTCCAGGGAAACGTTTCCAATTTAATCCCCTGCCTGCACCTTCCCTCTGCCTTTGAATGGGTATTATCTTCCAGGAGCGGAGCGGGGAGTTTTGATTTAAAAAAAAAAAAAATAAAAAAAAGGGGGGAAAAAAGAAAAAAAGCTTAACAAGCAGCAAACAGGAATGGGAATGCTGGTCTGGGATCCATTATCCCTGACCCAGAGGTTGGGAAGCAAAAGAAATTAATTAAATTGGGGAGGGGGGAGGCCAGCACTGTTTGCTGCTGGTGTCCAGCCCATGAGGGATGTCCAGGGGGTGTCTGTCCCCCACACCCATCCAGGGGGACACCCTCACCCCTGAGGCTGCCACGGAGACCTTGGAGCTGCCCAGTTTGTTCCCATTAGAGCTGAAGGATGGCCAGGATGGAGCACAGGTACCACAGCTGAGGGGCAGAATCACTTCTTAAAATCCCATAAATCCCCCAGATTTGCCTGGAGGATCCCAAGGCAGAGACCCCTGGCAGAGGGAGGGGTGCCACCATGGAGGTGGGATCCTAAAAGGGGCTTTCTCCCATGGCCAGGAGCTGGGATGTCTGACCCTCCCAGCTCCCTCCAGCACCTCCCAGGACCCCGCAGAGCCTCACCACTGGTCTCACAGGACCTCAAACCCTCCCAGCTCCCCAGGCATGAGGCCACATGAGGGTCCTCCTGCTGCCTCCATCCATCCTGAGCTGCATCCACTGGAGCAGCTTGGCAGGAAAATCAACCCCAAACAAGAGGGAGCCTCGTGGAAATGTGCACTGGAGAAGGAAAGGAACTGTCCACTCACAGCCCTGGGTCACCAGGACAGGGATCAAACACTGGGACACGACACCAGATTCTCCCTCAAACCCAAAGAAATGCCACAACCCCCAGGACTCACCTTATTTCTCACCTGTCACCCCGTTCCCACAGGAGCTGGCACATCCCAGTGAGCCACACCAGGATGGCAGCAGGGGCTGCCCCAGGGCTGGGCTGTCCTCCCAGGGCTCCTTCTTCTATTCCTTTTTAACACTTTCAGGAAAAATAACCCCCCCTTGAAGCTCCTGCTGGTTGTTTAAGAGCTGCTTGCTTCCATCCCTTTCCAGGAACACGCTCTGGGTGGTGCCCAATTGGTACATGTGGGCAAAAGGGTGGGAAGAAACAGGGCAAATGGCACTTCTGTGCCCACACCCACAGCCCACAGTGCCTTGTGCCGGTTCCAGGGTCACCTCCTGGTTCACTTTCCCCAGTTTAGACCTGTTTTCCTTTGGAAACCACATTCAGCTGGTTCTGGTAGTGGGAGGGGACGAGCTCAGCCCCAGGCATGGAGGCAGAGATGTGGCCACCACCTCTGTCTGCCATGGTGGCCACTGGTTCTTTCCAGGTTGGTGGCCCTGGGGAGGGCCTTTGTCTCCCACGGTGGCCACTGGTCCCTTCAGGCTGGAGGCCCAGGGCAGGGTGGCTCTGCCCCAGCCCCAACCCTCTCTGAGCCTGGCACACAGCAACAGCCTTCTCCTTCCATGGGGCTTGGGCTAGATCTGCCCTGGAAGGGTGAAATCCTTACTGCAGCTTTCTGCCAACTGGAATTCCTTCCTGGAGGGGAAGAGGTGAATGTCACTCCAAAAACTCGGAGGGAAAGGCCTGGAAAGCTCCTTTCTGGGCTTGTCCCTGCCCCTCTCCCTCTTGGCTGCGTGGCCGTGGTGCTGGCGGTGCTGGATCGTGCCCGTGGGATGCTCAGCTCCTCCTGGAGCAAACACCTCTGGCACGACCTCCAGCAGGTCCCCAGACAGGCAGATCTCAGCCCTGGGAATGCTGACAAAACCCCTCAGTTATAAATCCCAGGTTTAAGCAAACAGGAGGTTTAAGCAGCCCAGGGAACACAGGAGCTGTTTGACGCCGGAGGGGCCGGCGCAGACCCGGCGGCTCCGGCTGCTCTGGCAGTGATGGGACAGGGATGGAGCAGCCACACAGGGCTGTGCTTGTCCTCGGGGTGAGTCACAGAGCCCACACAGCCGCTCCAGCACGGAGCTATTTGGGGTTTCTCAGCAAACCTGTGGTTTCTGCAGGCGGCCCAGAACAGGGGCTCGTGTGTTGCTCTGATCTCGTTTCTCCCCGCAGAAGGACCTCGTGCAGCAGAACAGGCTGAGAAGCCATCAGGTGGGACAAACTGCCTGGCCAGATGCTGTTTCAGATGTGTCCACGTTCCTGTTCTCGCTCCCACCGCAGATTTGGGCTCACCCAGCAGAACCCATGTGGTGGGACAATCTGGGGTGATTTTAAGCCCAAAAAGAGAAGAGGGGAGACTCGAACACAAACAGAAACTCAGGGTGAGGCCCCAGCATTGTTTTCCCCAGCCTGGGGGTATTAATAACCCAGCCTGGCTTTCCATGCTGCCCCAGGGATGAACTGTGGGACAGCTGGACCATGCCAGGCAGGCAGGACACACAGTCCTGAACATGCAGTGAGAAGGTGGTGACCAGACCCTCCCCAGTGACAGCGAGGGCAGCATGGGGACAGTGTGCTGGGAATAAAGGAACTGTGTTGTCTTAGTGCTGGTGGTGCACATGGGGGTGGGATGGGGTGGGGTGGGATGGATGGAAGAGCAGTGCCCTGTGCCAGGCCAACTCACCTCCACACGAGCTGTCTGAGCAGCAGGACCCGACAGCCCTGCCCAATGCCCAGCCCCAGGGAAGGGACACTTGCTGAGTCAGGAGACCTCCCCAAAATCTCCCCCTGCACCTCTACAGCCATCACACAATGCAGTGGTCAAAGCAACCCCAACACCTGCCCAAAACCCGTCGTGGTATTTGTTCACCTCTTTCCCAAATTCTGGAGCTGACGACCTCCAAGAGCCTGGCAAAAGAAATCAACCACTGAGATGAGAAAAAAACCAGATCAGACCAGCAGGTGGACAGGTTGGCTGGGAATCTTCCACAACAGGTGTGTAAACAAGGATATGGATAAAAAATACAGAGAGGCAAGACATGTTTGGAAGGGGAGCTGCCTCCTCCCCTCTCCCCAGCTGGTCCCTTGTGCCCCTCTGTCCTCCTCCATCAGTCCCTCACGGGGAATGGCCAATTCCTGTCCTCATAGAACTTCTTCAGGCCCTCCAGGTTGACAGGGGGGAAGTAGGGCCCGATCCTCTTCCGAATCCACCACCTGCCCTCGCTGGCGTGCTTCCCCCCGGGCCGGCTGAACTTGTACTTGAAGTGTTCCCCACGGATCCACCTGCAGGAACAAAGCACAGGAGCTCAGGGTTTGGGAGGAGGCACAAAGCCCTCGGATCCCATTTTTGTTCTGCTGGGATTGGGAGTTTTTGAGCCTTTCCATAGCCGGATGGAGAAATCAGCTCGAGGGTGTCCAGCCTGGCTGGCTCTGCATCCCAGTGCTCTATCCACCCACCCATCCATCCATCCATCCTCAGGATGCCCACAGCTGGCAGCACCAACACAGCCATCCCTGCTGGAGCAAGACATTGGGGAGCTCGTGGGCCCCTCTTGATGCCATTTAGGAATGTCGGTGTCCAAATGGGAATGATGCCCGAGGCAGAGGAGCTTCAACAGCCCCAGCCCGCGCGCTCCCCACGCACCTCTGCACAGCCGAGCTGAAAAGAACAATAATAAAAGCAGGAATAAGATAATTTTTTCTTTTCTGAGGCAACTCTGGAGTATTTCTGCCCGGGATATTTTAGGGAGAGGGTCTGACTGCCACCCCAGCTGCCCCACCACCCCTCTGGCCCAGCTCCGTGGTTTCTGAGCGCGGCTCCGAGCGCCTGTTCCGTGGCTGCTCCGGGAGGTGACAGCAGAGCAGGGCTGAAGGCAGTGCAGAAAGCAGCATTCAGCAGTGTCGGGCAACACCCTGGGAGCTGCCCACGCTGTGGGCCGGGGGGTTGGGTCCCCCTTGATGTCGGGGTGCTGACAAGGCCCGCGGTAACACCCCCCGCCGCTCCCTCCTGCGAGCGCGTCGCCGCCGTCGCGGGGCGAGTTCATAAAACACCCCACAAAATAAAAATGTCAAAGTCATGTCAGTGCTCATTTAGACCCGCTTTGCTCCACTACTAAAATACAAACCCTGCTACTGAGTGGGGCACGGCGCTCCCGCAGCTGCGGGATCCCGGGGCGGCGCCTCGGCCGGCCGGGAAGTTCCTTCCCACTGTAAAATAATTAGGGACGACTCCGATGGATTTGCCATTAGTGCTCGCCTTCGGAACGCCGAGGGGAGCGGGGCAGAGGGCAGGGCATGGGTAAGGCTGTGCCCAGTTAAAGGTTTGCTGCCAGCCCATCCCAACAGCTCAGTTCCAATCCTGCTGGTGCCCAGCTGGGCATGACAGGAAGGATTCTCCTGCCAGACCATGGAAACATGGACTGCCCAGGGAGGTTTGGAGTCCCCATCCCTGGAGGTGTCCCAGGAAGGCCTGGCCGTGGCACTCAGTGCTCTGGGCTGGGGGACAAGGTGGGGATGGGGCACAGGGGGGACTCCATGGTCTCAGAGGTCTTTTCCAACAAAAACAGCTCTGGAATTCTGTGTTCATCACACCCATCACGTTTTCCACAGAAGCTGTGGCTGCCCCATCCCTGGAAGTGTTCAAGGTCAGGTTGGACACAGCTTGGAGCAACCTGGGCTAGTGGAAGGTGTCCCTGCCCATGGCAGGGGGTGGATCAAGGTGAGCTTTAAGGTTTCTGTCAACCCAAACCACTCCAGGATTTTATGATTCTACAATCTCCATGTTTCCCCCTCCTCTGAGGAGTAAGGAAGGTAAATGGGAATAGGGGACAATGCCACAGCCCTGGCTGGGGTTTGGGATGCACAAACCTGCACCTCCCCCCAGGAATGCTGCCCTGCAGCTGCAGGCTCTTTTACAGCCAGGGCCATTCCTACATCCCTCTTTTCTGAGGCTGGGAAAGGCCAAACTGGCCTGAAATGTTACTCCCACAAGGTTTCCTTTGCAGGAGCACAAAAGTTTCCTGTTAATAATTAGAGTGTTACTGAGCAGCCACATCCCCAAGTCCAGGTACCCCACAGCTCCTCTCCGGGACAGTCAGAGATTCCCAAGCTGTGCTGCTTGATTGCTTTCTTGAATTCCAAAACCATATCCACCTCAAAAAACAGATGCATTTCCCCAAGAATCTCCAGAGGCTGAGTTTATGCCAGTCCCTCTCCTGCTCCCCTCGCTGTCACCAAGCTTTGGGGTTTTTCCTTCACTAAGCAACTGCAGAGCATCTCCCAAGCTGGACCCACCTCCATGTTCCCCCAAAGCATGTGTGCCCCATGCTGAAGGAACCATCTGCAAATCCCACCTGGCAAAACTCCCGTTTTCTAGGGATGCAGAGCACAGTTGCCTTATCTGAGCTCTGGGGCAGACCCAGACGTCAGGAGATGTCTCTGCTCAGCCACAGGCACCTTCTCCCCAACCTCAAGGGCTGTCCCACAAGCCCACAAGCCCTCTGGAATGAAAATTTCCTCGTCCTTTCCAATGGCCTTGCCTGCCCAGATTAACTCCTATCTATCATCTGATTTGGGATGATTTCTCCCATCTGTTCCCTGCCCATTAAAACGTTTGCCATCAAAGGCCCCGGCGTGTAAAACTAGAACCGTGTGAGCATCAAAGCGACCACGGCCCACTGAGGAGGCATTTTTGTGGCACAGACTTTGCCTTTCTATCCAACCAAAGTTCTGCTCAGAGCCCGAATCAATGTGAGAGTCCCCCCAACCCTCCCCAACCTCTAAATTCAGCCACCACTTGTCCCAGCCCTGGGGGGGCTTCCCCCAGTCTGCTCCACCAGGAATGCTGGGATGCACAGTCCACGCCAGGATAAGATCCATGGAGACAGATTGCACAGCTCCGTGGGCTGTGGAATTTGTAAGCTCCATGGAGATGAGCTCTTCCAGGAGCTGAACCATTCGCCCAGGGATGAGCTATAAAGCCCACAGCTCTTCGCTTTCCTGCACCCCCAACTTCTCTGGGATACAAGACCTGGAGCTCTCCATTGTGATAACAGAGGAACCAAAGAGCCTTCCCGTGGCTGCAGCAGGAAAAACTGCAGTGGGAATGCCTCTGGACACCAACATCCCTCTGAGCATCCAAACACAGCAGCAGCATCCACACCCTGAGCTATCCATCCTCTCCATCCTTCCCGGGGTTAGGGGCTCTGGGAGAGAGGCAGAAAACCTGGAACCCGTGGGAATATTTCCTTGCAGGGCTCATGATGTAAAAGCTGCAGAGTTTAATACTCACTGGAGCCCCTCATTTCAGGGCTCAAAGAGTTTACAAGCTCTCCCAGTATTTATAACCTACCTGGGTGCCTCAATCCTGAAATTACGGGATTTCCCAACTCCTCCAGCGCTGCCTCACTGCTCCCGCCCCCTCCTCCTGGGATTCAGGGAGTGAACACCCTCCTGCACTCACAGGGGAAGCATTAACACCCCAGAGTCCATCATTTCAGGGTGTACAAGCCCCACCTGGAGCCCAGGACAGGTTGTAACTGAGGTGAGACACCCGTGTGCAGAGCAGGACACCACGGCAGGTCACCTGAGCAGCAAGTGCTGGTGTTTTGTGCAAGTCTGGGGCTCACACAAAGACCTTCCAGCTGGTGGAAGGGACTCACAGGCCTTGGAGCCCACCTGAGGCAGGAGACTGAACCTGCAGGAACCTGGAGAAATGGGAACATCTTCAAGAAGGCCAGGAAGGAGCTGTGGGACCTCACCTGCATCACAAGGAGTTTGAGGCCCCAGGTGGTCACTGACTCGTGGGTCAGAGGAGACAGACAGGTCAGGAAGGATGATCCTGGCTGCAAGCAGTTTCCCGGGATTTACTGAGCAAACACAGCTCCTCCTGGCTCCTTGGGAAGCAACAGGCACCAGCTACCATTTAAAAATGGTTTTAAACTGAAAGAAGGTGGGTTTAAATGGGATATTGGGAAGAAATTGTTCCCTGTGAGGGTGGGGAGGCCCTGGCACAGGTTGCCCAGAGAAGCTGTGGCTGCCCCATCCCTGCAAGTGTCCAAGGCCAGGCTGGAGCAACCGGGAATAGGGGAAGGTGTCCCTGCCCATGGCAGGGGGTGGGACTAGATGGCATTCAAAGGAGATGGCAAACCCTCTCTGCTATGACAACAACAAGGCACACAAAGGCCCCTTGGGCAACTTCTGAGCTCAACGGTGGTGCCAGGAGAGCGACGGAGCCGACGGAAGGCGGAGGATCACCCGGCGCCCAGGAGGACCCACCACCCTTCTGGGCAAGCACCCACCCTCCATCCCCACCCAGACTGGGCAAGGCCATGGCCTCAGGGAGGGCAGAAAGGCTAAAAATAATCAGCCTGATGTTCAGAAGCAGGGCCTGCAGCCCCGCAGATGCCCGGGAGCAGCTGCGCCGCGGCCGCCGGGGCGTCGCTCGTATATCAGCCCCTTATGACATCGCCCAACTGGACGTGTTAAAAATTAGCAGCAATATTGGAGTTGTTGGGATGGAGGGTAAATCTCCCAGACAGCTGTAATTAGTTCCAGAGGGTGCAGCTGTCTCCCTGCAACAGCTGAGGGGTTCCAGGGAAAACACCCGAGCCGGTGCTTTCTGGTGGAATTAATGGCCTGACAGGGCTGGGAGGGGGAAGAAAGAAACCAAAACACGGGGGCGTCTTTGGGGTTTGGGAGGGTTGGGTTTTTTTTTTTTTGGTTGTTTTTCTTTTATCTCAGGGTTTCCCACTCTGCTGTAAATCAGGGAGCAAGTGGTGGTGGTGGAAAGCACAAATCCATCACGGTAACAGAGCCTCCATCATCGCTCTCCCGCCTGTTCTTGCCCTGGTAGTGGGAGGGATCATAAATCCAGCTGGGCCCAAGTCTGCAGAGTAAGGGCAGTTTTATGGGTTGTTTTTCAATGCCATTGACCCCCGAGGCTCCTGCAAGGTCTGGCAAGAGCATCCCATGGGCAGTTTATCCTCAAAACTCCCTTGGGGGAGGTGGCAAAGTGGGTTTTTTCCCCCATGGAACAGTTAGAAAGGGAGGCTTGGAGTCTGTGACTGTACCAAAGGCTGAGCAACCCCTGGGGGAAGGAAACCTTCCAGCTTTGGTTGACATCACCAAGGAAGAGAGATCCCATGGCCACGGGACACGTGGTGCTGTCCTGACCACGGAGAAGCTGCCCCACAGCCACCAGAGGTGATTGGAAATCAGATTTCCCACCCTGGGGGAAATCCTGTTGTCTTGGGATGAGCTCTGCTCTCCCTGACATTGAAATACTGAGGTTGTTCTTACCAAAAGAAAATCCCTTAAACTCTCCTTCAGGACCATGGAATCATTTCATTCTGATAATATCTGACATCATAACATTGATGATGAATTAAAGATTTTCTTTTCAGTCATAGTGCACAAGGAAAGAAGAAACAAACTGCAGTAAAACATCTCCCTTGTGAAACCCTGTGGGAAAGCCAAACACCCCCATATTTATACATTTTTACCTCAGAGGATCCTGTCACCTTCCAGGTGCCCATAAGCACCACTCCTGTCTCCTCCAAAAACATTTTGGGAGAGACCTTGCACCCAGATTTTTCCAGGAAATCCCAGTCCCTGCCTGCCTTCAACAGCTCCAGAATTCCCTTTAACCATTTTTGGGGGGGTCCAAGCCCCAAACTGGGTTCTACACTGTCCAAATATGACTCAGCCCTTCCCATGGCTTGGGATGTCTCCACAGATCCCATGGAAAAGCACCTCCACACCTTCCACCAGGGTCCACAGTGACTTCCACAGCCTGGGAATCCAGCCCAATGTGCCCCAAGTACAAAGTCCTGTAACTTTGGCACAACTGGGAAATAAATGGGCAATCAAATAAAAAAAAAAAGAATCCCAAATGCCACGTTCTTCCCGTGTTCCTGCAGCCAGGGAGCATCCAGAGGGAAGCACCACCTCCCTCACTAACACCACCACTACAAATCCAGGGCTTCACACACATGTTGGGGCTTTTTCAACAAAGTGCTACTATAATTGGAATAAAAGTCCTAAAGTGAACATGATTTAATATCAGAGACACCGAACACTTCAGGTCAAACCCAAAAAACCTGTGGTGTTTTTTTTTTCCCCCCTCCTGTAGGCAAATCTGATTTTTGTTTTCTTTTATTGTTGCAGCCTGTTTCCATGACGGTGTGTTAAACACTTATTAATTTCTCAGCCAAAGCCCTCCTGTTCAGATTTATGAGGGCTGGTGTTTTATGAACTATCCGCTGCACCAGAATATTTTGTAAATCCACATTCCCCCAAACATCCCCGGGATCCCAGTCCAGCTTCACGCTCAGCCAGGCTGGGCTCAACAATACCCTCATTTTTAATCAGTCACCTGTTTCTCATTTTAAGTTTATCACACTTGAAAAAATACTATAATTTCTTGAGTTGTAAAGGAACCTACAAACTTTGGTCTCCGAAATTTCATTTCGAAGGCATTAACTCATTTTGAAAGTCCCTTGGCTATTTAAGGTGTAGAGTTTCCATTAACAGAACAAACTCCGTGGAGGATGGAGCGTAAGGTTCTTATGGAAAACAGTCCCTTCCCCTAATTATTTAGTCTAGCAGGGAATGAAAATAATTAAGTCTCAAAATTCCCTTTAGAGTGGAGGGAGGGGGGGAATATGGTAGGAAAATTAGGGGTTTTTTTTCCACCCAGCTACTGCAGGGAGCAGGGCCATGGTGGGAATGAAGGCTGGCAGCAGCCACAGGTGGGCTCTGGATCCTGGGCGAGGGCACAGGGATGGCCTTTGGAAACCTGTGGAGCTACAGCCCCATGGAACTGTCTTTTCTTTCCAGGTGTTACTGCTAAGGGTTGAATTTAAGGTTTTTGTTCACAGCTGAAATGAAATTATAACGGGAACGTGATCGTTGCTGTCAGCGCTGAGGGTGCTGCTCTCAGGGAAACATTGCTAAGGGGTCTGGATTGAGAAAGTAGGTGTCCTGCCAAGGATATGGAATCATTTAGGTTGGGAAAAACCCTTTACGACCATCCAGTCCAACTGTTCCCCCAGCACTGCCAAGGCCACCACTAACCCACGTCCCCAGGTGCCACATCCACAGGGCTTTTAAATCCCTCCAGGGCTGGGGACTCCACCCCTGCCCTGAGCAGCTGTGCCAGGGCTGGACAGCCCCTTCCATGAAGGAATTCCTTCCTTATATCCAATCTAACCTTCTCACTCCCAGGTTGGATGGAGCAGACCATGGCTCTCCCATGGGAATGTGCCCAGGGCTGTGCTGTGGGTGCAGGAGCTCGTCAGCCCCTCCAGGAGCTTCACTGTGCAACGAGGGGATGTTTAAAATCAAAGAAAGAAATGACAGATTTTATTTATTTCTATATGTATTATACCACCATCCCAGGTGTGAGCACCCGCCTGTGCCCACAACCCTTGCCCTCAACTTGGCTAAAAATCTGGATCACAGGATCAGAGAATCCTGGAATGGTTTGGGTTGGAAGGGATCTTCAAGATCATCCAGTTCCACCCCCTGCCATGGGCAGGGACACCTTCTACTAGCCCAGGTTGCTCAGGGCCCACGCTGGGCCCATGCCCCAGATGCTTGGATTTGGCTCTCCAAGACCCAAAATATGACCCACACCTGGGATCCCGAGTGAAAAACATCCGTGGGGTTCCAGGGGAAGTTCATTCCACACAGTGCTCTGGACCTCCATCCCTGTTTGCAGTGCATCCCCAGAGCCTCAAATGGAAAATATTAGCAAGAGCATAATATTACTTGAGTTGATCCAAAATGCCCCAAAAATGTTTTCTCAGCTAAAAATAACCTCACCAACAAAACAGACCCTTTTGTGAAAAACTTCCCTTTGTGTAAAACCTTGGAGTTTTCATCTGTGCCTTTCCCTGCCTGATGTTTGCTTTGTCTCTTCCTTGAAAACAAAAACAATTCCAAGACTAGTCCACAAAAACAACCAGTTCTGCAGGGCTGTTTTTTGTCTTTGAAACACCTCAGGAGGTCCCCAGAAACGGTGGGTTTTGAACTGAGCTCACGAAGCAGAAAATCTAAAGCTGATGGGCAGGAAACCACCTCAGAAGTCACCAAGTTCTGGCCAAGAGAAGCAACGCTGGGCCCTCCACGGACCCGCCTGGGAATGGGCTCATCCAAAGGGTCCTCACCAGGGAGGCATCATGGTGCTGGCAGCACCTTGGTGTCCTCAGCAAACCCACCCTGTCTGAGACCACCTGGGTGCCACGAAACACAAACCCAACCACGAACAGAAACCACCCAGGCACGTCCAAGGCGGGGACAACGCGGAGCCCGGGCGCTTCCAGCTCCCTTGGGACAACTCCAGACTCACCGGGGGGGTTCTCTGCCTGCAAAGGGGTTCGTGGCCATCAAGGACAAGGCCTCCTCTTCCTGGGCCAGCAGCTTCCCAGCCAAGTGGATTATCCATTCATTCTGCTCGTAGGTCTGGGGGAAGAAAGAAGAAATATAAATGTGAGGCACTGCTGGGCTTGTCCTGGAGTGTCACCGGCGTTAAAGGCTCCTGTGTGGTCTTTGGGGAGAGATTTCAACTCATTTGGGTGGTAAACAATGAATTTCCCACTGTTTCAGCAAACATTCCATGGGATCCAACACCTCGAGGTCCAGAGGGAGACTCTGGCACCTGTGGGGAGCAGGGAGAGCTCCAGTGAGTTTGTCTCATCTCTGCCACAGTTGGAGTGTTCTTGCCCATTCTGCCCTCAAATACTTGATTTAAATAATTCATTTGAGCAGCAAACTCCCCAGGGGAACAGTTACAGCACATTTTTGAAAGGACAATCCATCCCTCACTTTAAACCAGGTTGTCTTCCCCTGTTGTGTTATCCAAGGGAAAACAGAACAAAGTGACTCCTCTATTCCCAACTCCTGTCTCCTCTTTATTCCTTCCATAGGATCCATCCTCTTTACATTCCTTCCTCCTGGAGCCACTGACAGGGAGCAGCTCTGGGACCAGCAGCCCAGGCTGCAGTGGCAGAGCTGGACCCTCTCCCTGAGAGAAGCAGGGAATTGGACTCCATGATCCCTCTGGGATCCCTTCCAACTCGAGATATTCTCTGATCCTATGATTTACCTCCCCACAGGAATCCACACATTCCTGCTCTTTGCAGGGATTCTTGCTGAGGCTCCATAAACCCCATTTCTCCTTCTGGGTGACTTTCTGCGCCTTGTACTTCACTAAGATTTCTTTTTTTCCTCCTTTTTCAGCGTGTTCCTGACTGGAATTTGGACTCCAAGCAGTAGGGGACACTGTGGGAAAGCGAAACCCGGGAGCTGTACCTGCGGGGCTGTGACTGACACAGAGCATGGAGGCAAAGCTGCTCCGCAAACCCCTCGGAATGGCAAAGTTTGTTATTTCCGTTGCTACGGGAAACGGGAGAGAAAGGAGATGGAAAACACGGAGCGCCGATGGGACGGCCCAGGCAGGGCAGCTCTGCCTCGCGGGGTTCCTGCCCCGTGCTCATCACAGTTGAGAGGAAAACCACAGTTATTAAAGCCAACAACGTCCAAAAAATGATCATTGTCCCCATTCCACAATCG